TCTCTCTCTCTCTCTCTCTCTCTCTCTCTCTCTCTCTCTCTCTCTCTCTCTCTCTCTCTCTCTCTCTCTCTCTCTGTGTGTGTGTGTGTGTTGCTTTCTGTGTTGCTCTGCACGTCACCCCCGTCCCTCTGCTCGACCGCTGGGTCGTTTCCTTCTGGCTTTTCCTTCTGCTGGTTCGCTCGATAGCCAAAGACTTTCTATTGCTGAGACTCCTGAGAGCCTGAGAAAGGTATTCGGCAAGTCAGCCTGTCTTCCAAAAGTCGTAGCCAACTTCATTTTTTCCAAGTTGTTTGAGCTTGTGTTCTTTTTTTTGCGAAGGTGGGGGGGAGTTAGTGGACCTTGCCGTCTTGTCAGTCTTTCGGTCAAGCCCATTTGGACTGAAGCGCATCTAGCAAAGCGTTAGCTTGTCGTCAAAAACGAAGCGAAATCATTGCATGCAATGGGGAAGCCTGCATGGCTATGGCGGACAACGTCATCTCGTCGTCGCCTAGTCGTTTGCTTCGTCATCGCCTGCATGGCTCTCCTTTGCTCATTGCTCTCCAAGTATCCTCCTCCTCCCCTGGGTGTTCTTTTTCCGTCCGCGAGCACCTCCATCTCCATCCCCATCTCCACCTCCACCTCCACCTCCACCTCCACCTCTCTCATTGAGAATTTTGCCCGCCTCAACTCCAGCCACCATGACAATTGGTATCCCGACGACGGTGGCGTTCGCGGTGATGGTGGAGATGAACTCCGACAGCAGACATTTGTCGACGACGAAGCAACTGGCGATAGGGATCGGGACACTCCCCCTCGCGGGGACCTCCCACCCCTTCAGGGCTTCCTGGGCTTTTCCTCTTCGCCCTCTGCTTGTGATGAGGATGACTCAAGCTTCGCCATCGATGGCCGGTGTCGAAGGCTCGCTGCTGGGGCTGGGCACCCACCCAGCCCAACGCGAACCACGTCATTGCCTCATGCATCAGCAACAGAAGAGCGGGGAAGTGGTGGGCAGAGGGGAGGTGAAGATGGTGAAGGAGGAGCTCATGAAACACTTCCGCTGGAGCCGCCTGATTGGCGGCAGGCAGCGCGACGTTTCCCCTCGTCCGCCGCCAACTGTGCGGCAGGAATACTGGATAGACCGCCCCCTCAGCTGCTGATTATCGGCTCCCAGAAGGCGGGAACTACCTCATTGTATAGGTACTTGTGCGATCACTATCCGGACGTAGCTTGCATTGCTAGAAACAAGGAACCGGGGACGCTTGCGTGGAGGGCGTGTCTTCAAAGACGGCATAATGGCTGTTTGATTCCCGAACAGCCAATCGACGACGCAGATGACCAGATCGACCAGATCGACCAGATCGACGCCATACAGGATCCGATGGATCAGATCGAGGACGCAGAGGATCGCACCAGTAAAGGGAAAGAGAGGAGGTACAAGACATATCTCAGCACCGCTTTCCGGATGGAGCAGGCGCCGCAGAGAAAATTCGTCACCATCGATGCCACGACTTGGTGAGTTGGTTGATCCCGATTTGAAAGAAAAAAATGGTAAAAGAAAAAGAGAAAAACTTCGCAACTTGTCGTCCTCGTCATTCTCATCGCTATCGCCATGATCGCTTCTTCTCGTGGCCCGCCGGTCTTCTCTTGGTCCCCTTCTTTGTTCCGTTGCCGTCGTCAACGCACGCTCATCATTTTATTTTATTTTTTGCTAATTTTCTTTAACGCACGCTCATCATGACTATACCACACGGTGAAAAAAAAAAAAAAAAAAAAAAAGAACTTGCATACACTCATTAGCAGCGTGCGTTGTGTCCGGGGTAAGGCGATAGCATCCCCCACGCCATCATCATCATCATCATCATCATCATCATCATGGCGGCTATCGACGTCCGCATCGACATGCAAGCATTCCAACGATAGCTCCATTGGATTGGAGTGCCATCTTTGTAGTGACGCGGTTACGGGGAGGGTAGGCAGGTGTCAAATCGAACGCACCAGCATTGGCTATACGACTCTGCATCTGCCCAGATAAATAAGCATGTACTATGGAAAACCGTACCCGTCATTTGGGGGCAACTTGCACCCCTTTCATTGAAAGGTAGCTATGCTTGCAGCTATGCTTGCCGCTATGCTTGCAGCTATGCTTGCAGCTATGCTTGCAGCTATGCTTGCTGCTATGCTTGCAGCTATGCTTGCAGGGGACCCTGTAGAGCATCAAGAATCGTGATAGTAAGTAGTGGAAGGTGAATTTGAGAGAGAGGAAAATAGATACTTAAAAAAAAAAGAAAGGCAGTGGCCATGCAAAAGCACGCAACATAAACCGTAAAGAAAAAAAACCCTGCTCATCCAGTGCAATTATATCCTCTCTCTCTCTCTCTCTCTCTCTCTCTCTCTCTCTCTCTCTCTCTCTCTCTCTCTCTCTCTCTCTCTCTCTCTCTCTCTCTCTCTCTCTCTCTCTCTCTCTCTCTCTCTCTCGCGCGCGCGCGCGCGCTCTGTTGCTCGCTCGTGGTTCTTCCTTTCCGTCTAAAGTAGTTTCTTTATTTTCTCCACTATATGTGTACTCTGGCCTTTTCCTGTTGCTCTCCTCGGTGTATAACTGAAGCACCTTTAAGATGTGCCAAATAGTCAGAGTGCCGGTTTGCTACAGTGTTCGGGATGCCTGTGTCTCTGAGTTCAGCAGTGATGACAGAGACATTCGTCAAAGTGACTCCCTGACTCTGGCGGTAGTGCGAACCTGCAGTCTGTGTAAAATTATACTTGTGGTGTGAATTGTTGCTGATCTGCTTTGGTCTCTGCTATCATTTGAACCTTTGTTTTTTTCTTTTTTTTGCTTTCATTGGAACTGTTCAATTCACAAGACAAAGTGTGACTGGCTTATGCAGTTTGCATCTGACAGTGTATGTGTGGGCTGCCTTCTCCTTGCTGCTATGCGGTCTGGCTGCCCATCCACTTGACTTCTGTTGCTGTTCTGGTTTCCCGCTTGCCTTGTGCCCTGCTGCTCAGCCTTGCTGCTTGCCTGGCCGCTTGCACCCCCTGCCCTGCCGCCCACCTGCCTACTTACTTGGTTCCCTTGCTCTCCTGTGCTCTTTGCTGCCTGCCTGACTGACTGCTCGCTTCACCGTCCGCCTGGCTGTTACTTGTCATTGTTGCTTTGGTTTCTGTCTTTTTGCCCGCCCTCCCCCCGCCTCTGGCAGATATGCCGTGCTGCTGGCGTTGTCACCCTGCCTGCCTGTGGCTGTCCACTCGCAACAGGGATTATAGAGTCAGAGCTTGAATGTCGGGATTCTGCAGGCTGTCGCGGGTTCAGTCCGCTGATGAGTTGATGAGACTCCGACGTAACAGCTCGTCATTAACCCCTGCAAGTTTTGTTGTTGTTGTTGTTTTGGCACCTGTTGTTCCTGTACCTCATGTGGTCCAGATCCTGCCGTCTTTGTTAAGTACCCATGTTGAGGATACCTGGGTCTTACTCCCCATCTGCTAAGTTTGGCAACTAAGAGTGTGGCTGCCCTTGCTCACCAAACATTCTTTTTTTTTCCTTTTTTTTCCTTTTTTTTCCTTTTTTTTCCTTTTTTCTTTTCTTTTCCAGTACTTGGCCCATACATCGACCGCGGGCCGTTGGGTACCAGACCTCAATAGCTGGAAGCGCCACCCAAAACAAAGTCGAGACAGCACTGCTGCGGTTCGGGAAAACTTGGCACGCAGGGGGTCGGCCGGCTCGGCATCGATAGCTGGGCCAAGTACAGGTGGTTTAACCTTGCCCTGCAGACACTGCCGGTGCTGATAAGAGCAGATGCGGCTAGTGCTGTGAGGCTGGCCCCATCTATTGGTGGGGGGCAATACCTGCGGGAAACCGGGTCCAGCGTCCCTTACATGATGTTGAAACCTTGAGTAAGCAAATTGTGATGTGGGTGATAAGAATCTTGTGAGCTGCTCCCTGCCAGCATTGATTACCCTGGTTCATCCAGGTGATTGACTGTGCAGGTGCACGTAATAAGACCATGCGGTCTATGCCCTGGGGTAATGGGGGAAGGGGAGAAGAGGCGGGGGCCAGACCCCGGGGGGGCTTCGGAGTTTACCCCTCCACCCTACCTCACCTCTCCCTACTCCCTGGATCACTTCAGCCCTCCTGCAAGATTTCCACCAGCGACAGGGGGTGGGGGGGGAAAGGTATGGAAAATCCGATACTGGCCTTGTTGCCGCACCTGGGTAGACTGATGTCCTATCATGAAATCGCAGACCATAATCCCTGGTTACACCAGCTTCCTGCTCCTCCTCCTCTGCTGCCTGTGACTGCCCAGCGGCTGAGTGTCGAGGGGAGGCATAGAACGGGGGTCCCCGCTGTACCCGTAGAGCGGCGCTCTACCTCCACTCAACCCCCGGCTTACCCCCAGTTCGACGGGAGTAGAGCGCCCCCCACCGAAGAGCGCCGCGGCCAGCGGAGGGCGGCAACTGTGTTTCACTGGGATCGGGGGGTGGCCCCGGCAGTCGGGGATGCCCCCAATCTGCCAAAAACATTTTTTTGATTTAAAAAAAAAAAAAAAAAAAACATGTAGGTGTGCAAAATGGCGGGCCAGCCATCAGACCCTTTCGGGGGACTGACGTCTAGAGGAAACCGCCCAGCGGCCCCGGCCTGCCCAATAAGTTAGGCGCTCCAAAAGGGAGCGCTTCCATTCGGAAGTGCTCACTGCTGGAGGGGTGTTCAGGTTTTTTTTTTTTGGTTATCGCTTTCAGAACGGGTGTTTGAGGGATGGAGGGTTGTACGAGAGAGTTGTTATATGGGAGGGATATTAGGCGACGTTCAGGGGGTCTTCAGGGGTGTAGGGGGAGGGGTGCTGAGGAGAGGGGGGGGAAGGGGGTGTTGGGGGGCTGTCTCTTATACACATCTAGATGTGTATAAGAGACAGGTGTATAACTGAAGCACCTTTAAGATGTGCCAA